TTCTGGATAGTTTGCTGACTGCTTTCTGTGTTAGCTGTGTTGGTTGTTGCTGTGGATTGTGTGATTGTAGTGGTGACACTGCTTGAGTTAGTACGCCGGGTTGCGTTGCGTGTGGTCTCCAGTTGTTGTCGTGCTTCCTGTTAGATAGTTTACCATGGTGCCGTCTCTGGGCCCATAAAGGTCTAGAATGGTCTCCAGTGATTAACTTGTTCTTCCTAGAAGAGAGACAAAGAGGGACCCCTTTCAAAAGTTTAGTCCTGCTTTTAGGGAAATAGGAGGAGGGCAAAGAGCTTTTTCTTTCTTCCTTTCTTTCTTCCTTTCTTTCTTCCTTTCTTCCTTCCTTCCTTCCTTCCTTCCTTCCTTCCTTCCTTTCTTTCTTTCTTTCTTTCTTTTTCTTCTCTTTTCTTTCTTTTCTTTGTTTTTTTCTTCCCTTTCTTCTTTCTTTTTCTTTTTTCTTTCTTTTCTTTGTTTTTTTCTTTCTTTCCTTTTTTCTTCTTTCTTTCTTTCTTTCTTTCTTTCTTTCTTTCTTTCTTTCTTTCTTTCTTTCTTTCTTTCTTTCTTTCTTTCTTCTAGAGAGAGAGAGAGATTGAGCGGGGCAAGGGCACAGAGAAGGAGGGAGGCAAGCGGACTGACTCCCCGCTGATACAGAGCCCCAACTGGGGCTCGATCCCAGGACCTGCGATGATGAGTGAGCAGAGAGCAAGAGCCGGACGCTTACCTGTCGGAGCTGGGCCAGCCCCAAAGAGCTTTTCCTATTCCCTGTTTCCTCTCAGTTGCCTTCAGCTGCAAACCATCCTTGAGCCCAGGGAGCCTCCTCCGCCGCCCCTCCTTTCCATTGCAAGATACAGGGGGCATCTTAAAGCTGCATGAATTGGAAACAGGCACTAATTATTTTGAAAGAGATGTGAAGGTTTTTATATAGTATCTCCCCCTCAAAGAATGCTTCCGAAGCTTTTGCAAAGTCAACAAAGCTATCTCAGGTGAATGAGGTTTCATTGTTCGAAATATGAAAATTTTGCCTCAAGGGCTCTTACGGCAGGTGGAATGTCAAGAAGTTTCTAAATAAAACAGATACCTGGGTCCAGGTTTTTCACTTATTTTCACTCTCCTTTTTACTTGAATTCCTTTTTAATGACGTGTTTCAGAGAATGCGTAAGAGCCGTCCAACCCCATCCTCTGTGGCTGTTTTCCTGACTCACTTGTACGACATCGTGGGAAAGGATTCAGTGCCAACACTAGTGACTGGGGAAGGAACGCAAAAGAGGACACCCACTGAAGCATTGTACTGGGAAATTAACTGCAAGACACTTATGGAAATTACATGCAAATTAATTAAAATAGTGTTCAAAATGCAAGTCCTCTTCACTCCCCACTCTTTTTTTTTTTTTTTTTTAACCATTTTAACCATTTGGAAGTGTATGGTTCTGGGCTTTACGTACATTCACATTATCGTGCACCCTCGCCCTTTGGAGGAAGAGCCCAGTGCATCTTCGTCCAATAGATTCCGGGGAAGCAGAACAGTCTCAGAAAGAAGGGGAGGAGGGCAGAGGGGAAAGGAAGGGATGGAGGAAAACTTTCCCAAGACTGCTTAAAAAAAAAAAAATCAATTATGCTACAGTTTGTTTTATTTTTTTTCTGAGTACAGTTGGCACACACTGTTACATGAGTTGACGTGCACGGCATAGTGATTCAAACTCTACGCGTGATATTGTGCCCACCCCAAGTGTAGCTCTTGTCTGCCCCACACAGCCCCCGTGCAGTGCCGCTGACTGTGATCCCCAGGCCGTGCCCGCGTTCCCCATGCCTGTGCAGCCCCTAACTGGAAGCCTGTGTCACTCACCCCCCGCCATCACCCATTTCGCTCATCTCCCCCCGCCTCCTCTCTGGCAAGCAACAAAGTCTTATGTTCTGTTTTTATAGGCCTGATTCTGCTTTCTGTTCATGCTTTTGTTTCATTGTATAAATGCCACAGGTAAGTGAAATCGGATAGTATTTGTCTTTGTCTCACTTATTTCACTTGGCATTACACCCTCTGGGTCCATCCATGTCGTTGCAGGTGGTGAGATCTCATCCTTTTCTATGGCCATATAACGTTGTATATATGGAGGTACCGCATCTTCCGTATGCAGTTGTCCGTGGATGGGCACGTAGGCAGCTTCCATATCCTAGCTCCTGAAAACAGTGCTGCAGTAAATAGAGTGTCTACGTATCTTTCTGAATCAGTGTTTTCTTTTTCGTTGGGCAAATGCACATATTGGATCATATAATATTCCTATTCTTAATTCTTTGAGGAACCTCCATAACCGTTTTCCAGCGGCTGCACCAGTCTACATTCCCACCGGCAGTGCGGGAGGGATCCTTCTCCGCGTCCTTGCCAACACTCATTATTGTTGTCTTTTTGATTTTAGCCATTGTGACAGGTGTAAAGTGGTGTGTCATCGTGGTTTTTGATTTGCATTCCCTGACGATGAGCGATGTTGAGCATCTTTTCAGGTGTCTGTTAGCCATGTGTATTTCTTATTTTGGAAAAATGTCTGTTCAGGTGATGTTTAATCAGGTTATTTACTTATGCTGATGTTTAATCAGGTTATTTACTTATTTATTTAAGTGTTGAGTTGTAGAAGGTTTTTTTTGTTTTAAGATTTTATTTATTTATTCATGAGAGACTCAGAGAGAGGCAGAGACACAGGCAGAGGGAGGAGAAGCAGGCTCCATGCCGGGAATCCAATGCGGGACTTGATCCCAGAACTCCAGGATCATGCCCTGGGCTGAAGGCAGATGCTCAACTGCTGAATCACCCAAGCGGCCCTATAAGTTCTTTATATATTTTTGATGTTAATCTTCTATTGAATATAATTTGCAAATAGATTCTCCCATTCAGTATTTTGCACTTTTTTGTTGTTGTTTTGTTGATGGCTTCCTTCACTTTGCAAAAGCTTTTTATTTTGATGTAGTTGTAGCAATCCTGAGAAATCCAGAATAAAGCTAGAAGTATCACAATTCCGGATTTCAAGATGTACTATATTCCAAAGCTATTTCAATCAAAACAGCATGGTACTGGCATAAAAATAGACATGTAGGTCAATGGAAGAGAATAGAGAGCCTAGGGATAAGCCCGCAATCATATGGTCAATTAGTCTGACAAAGGAGGCAGGAACATACAATGAGAAAAAGACAGTCTCTTCAATAAATGGGAAACATGGAAAGCTATATGCAAAAGAATGAAACCAGACCAGTTTCTTACACCATACACAAAAATAAACTCCAAATGGATTAAAGACCTAAATATGCGATCTGAAACCAAGACAGCTTTTACTTTCCTTTGCACATTTGGGTAGAGACAGCTGACAGCTGGGAAAAGAATTGAGGCAGTGCTGGGGGTTGGGATTTCAAAGACTGAAGAAAATGACTTCATCTGTATTGTGTCTGACTATATTTGGACCTAGGCCTCTACTTTCTTATACTCAAGGCTTGAAGTTACTTGAAATTTTGCAGGGGTAACACGCTGCAGAAATTTCCAGCCATCAAGAGCAAGTGGTTATTTAGCAACATCCATGTGTAGCAACATCTATGTGTAGAATAATGACAAAGTCAAGGGCCTTACAGGAGAAAACAATGTGTGCATTAATATATATCACAAATGAACGATAGCACGAGTCTTGAAGACCGTGTGTTGCTACAGGAATTCAGGAAAAAGAGTAACGTCTACAAGCTTGAATACTTTTTGCTTAAAAATTTAGTACTAATTTTAACTGAAATAAGATGAAATAAAAGATCAATAAAAATCTCTATGTGCCAAATCTAAAGTGTTGCACAAAAAAAAGGCAAGGATTTTGTCATTTCAAAGCTAATCTTCAAAACTGTTTTTGTTAGTGCCACATGATGACTGCATTACAGGTAGAAGAGAAATACCCAACATTCTTTGTCAGTCTTCTGGAAGAACGGGTCTTGAATTATGAGAGTGATGATTAGCGAGAGCTCCTCAAGAATGCATTTCTTTGTTAAGTGCCTGGCCCTTGTACTCTACAGCCTCTGATGGTCTCAAGGGCAATCAAACTAATTATTCTACATCATCTTCTTCCTTGCCTGGAGGAAGCGCTGCTACTCTAGTATAACAGAACAAACCCTCCTGCGGGTGAAGTGGAAATATCTTGCAAAATGTAAACCTCTTGTATGAAAGCTGAATTCCCAGGCTCTCTCCCTAATGGCCCGAGATGAGAGATCGTGGCTTGTGGAATGCTTCTCATCTTCACTTCCTGAGAATGAGACCAGTGCTGTAGTTGAAAATAGAGCCCTGCATTGATAAGATAGAAATATATTGCTAAGACTTTGCAAAATTTATCAAGAAAGCAGTCAGTGGTTTAACATGAGGGCTAATCTCTATCCTCTTCCCCCAACAAACAGCATGGAAAAATGCATGAAATCTAACCATTCATTTGTCTGTTCGTTAATGAAATCTAACCATTCTCTTGTCTGTTCATTAATAAAAACCTTCACATAATGGAGGTGAGTCAACTTGAAGGCTATGCCATAGACCTTTCTGATTAAATTCACACAGTGACTTTAGCTGACTGTTTTTGTGAATTGAGATCATTTACGTCCCGCCTAAGTGCCGAGGTCTAGTTTGGGTTTGAGAATGTCAATCCACATGCCACTTTGACCAGCAGACATTAAAGGGTGAGTGAGAAAATGGAATATGTTTAAACAGCTTGGAATGGAAGAAAATAACGTAAATGATTGCTACGCTTTTGACATTTCACAACGTGTAAATTATGTTATCAATAGTATGCAATTTGTACCATTACTTGATTCAAGACCTCAGAACTTTCTGTAATGGATTTGAACCTCAAAATACAGTATGTATAACCAGAGTGAGGTCTTCACTCTCCATGATGATTATTCCCTTTGGGCTAGAAAGCAAGTCGAGCTGCAGGTTGCAGAGTTATGCGATGCCAAGGCAGCTGACCACTCTTTCTCTCCTGTTCTCTACTGTCTTGCAGACCAGACGATGTGCTCCTGCACCGCACGCATGATGAGATTGTCCTCCTGCATTGCTTCCTCTGGCCCCTGGTGACATTTGTGGTGGGCGTTCTCATTGTGGTCCTGACCATCTGCGCCAAGAGCCTGGCAGTCAAAGCAGAAGCCATGAAGAAGCGCAAGTTCTCTTAGAGGGGAGTGGTTTTGTGGAAAGCAAAGCACAGAAGCTGCGCTCATCGGCACACATCTACCTGCAGAGCCTGTTTCCTGGTGCAGGAGATGGAAGGGGCTGTGAGAGGTCTCCGAGAGGCTCCTGCCTCGACGGCAGCAGAAACAGGCACAACGGGAAGGCTTGGATCCTCCTAGATTGTGTGCCATGTGTCGTAGCGATGGCTAAAGGGTCAAGCTCTTAACCCAATGGAGTAACCATTTCAGAAAATCCTATAAGACGTTAATTTTCTTTGGAAAGTAACAGTATATAATTGTACAGTGTAGTATACGAACCATTATGATTTATGCTACTTAAAAATATTAAAATAGAGTGGTCCGTGGTTTTTTTTTTTTTTTCCTATTTCCTTTTTTTTTTTTTTGTGCTTAGAGCACCAGAGATTTAGAAAAGGGGGTCTGGTGGGTTTCATTTGAATCTGCTAGATTAAACTTAGAGCTAAGGACCCCTGCACAGGTCTTCACCTCACAATAGGATCCTTACTCTCTATTATTAAACACTTTTTACCTCCTGCTTGAAAAATGCAAACTGCCCTGTTAACTCAACCTTTAGTCGTTTCTCTCTTTGTCAAGGGATCCTTGAAGATTGGGGAAAACACATCCTCCAACACTTGCCTTTTCCTCCCCATTACTTTTCACCAGATTATTTCTTAAGAGAGGGAGCTGATTCTGAACAAGGTGTGTCCTCGCTCTGGGAGCACTCTGCTCCTTTGCTCCTGCGTCCGTGCTGTTTGAGGGATTTGATCTCTGCGCAGTAGGATGTACATGATGCGAAGGATGCCTTGCAGCTTAGTTAAATGCCATTTGTGTTCCTTTTTTATTCTAGGTCAGAAGAAAATATTCAAAATCAGTTCAAGTAGTTTGTTTTTATTTTCTTTGTTCTTGCCTTGATGCTGTCAGTGTGGAAACAAGAACATGGCTGCAGTAGCTGGGTTTGCTCAGACAAACCTGGGGATACACCCCAGTGCACATCACTGCCGCCACCGAGCTTCCTGTTTCTTGAAGAGACCATGATCCCTTGCATCTGTTGATAAACTCAAAAATCACACCTACCCAGGTATTCAGATAGAATCAAACGTTTGTTTAGGTGAGACGTACATTTTTAGTGAAGGAGCAGCTGACAGTATAACTTCTTTTTTGTTTTCTTCTATGGTCCTTCAAACACGCTTCTGTTAGAATAAAGGCAAATTGGAACTTAAGAACAGTACTTGCTCAGGGTCCTAAGAAGGAGACGTATTAGTGGGATGATCACCCCCTGACTTTTGGTTCATATACCGCTGCTTTCTAAATTTCAGAGGACAAGCCACTGAGAGAGCCATAGTCACCTGTGGAAGGATGTTGGATGAGTACAATCCTTTTTTTTTTTTTCCTAATTCAGTGTTACAAGTCTCACTGTGAACAAGGCCTTGAACACACTGTCGATGACATCCTTTCAGGCAGCTCCAGTGCCTTGACTTCAGCACCAGCTTTCTGTTGCAGCATCCCTGTTGTCTTAGCAACACCGTGAGCCATTCGGAAGCCACAGTCACTGGAGAATGGGAACCCGAGAACATCATCGTCTTTGCGTCACATAGTGGGAGAGGAAGTCGACTCTAGCCATTTTATCTTAATCCAATAACCTCTGATTAATTAATTACAGAGAAGAGATAAAAATAGTACAGAGATACATGTGATATGTTGGGGAAAAGGGAAATGGATATAGATATAGATAGATATAGATATAGATATACTTTTTTTGGTCTTTTTTAAAGATTTTATTTATTCATGAGAGACACACAGAGAGAGGTAGAGATGTAGGCAGAGGAAGCAGCAGGCTCCATGCCGGGAGCCCAGTGCAAGACTTGATCCCAGGACCCTGGGATCACACCCTGAGTGGAAGGCAGACGCTCAACCGCTGAGCCCACCAGGCGTCCCAGTAAACGGATATATTTTGATCTGAGTTTTCATTTATCAGCTTGACACTCCTATATTTCTGTTACTTAAGGCTTCTGTTTAGAGCCAAAGTGTACAGAGGACTGTATTCTGTAGGTTGATTTTTGGAAAAGAGGAGAAACACACTGAAATCATGAGGTCACATGGAGCTTCAAGGTCTTCCTTGCTTATAGCCCATTAAATGTGAGGCTCTTTGTACTTGTTGCTAAAGTTAAAATCCAGAGGGGCAAGGAGAGGCTGTTTTTAAGATCATACAAAGGTAAAGAAGCTTAACTTCTTAATACTTTAATCCACTTTTTTGTATAAGTGAGGAAACAGTTGAAGCTGCTTTAAGAGAAGCCCCAAAATATGTAAGAATGCATCCTTCCTCACAGAGCCCCCCATAGGGAGCAGAGAAGCCCAGGGTAGTCGGGGAGCTCTGTTTCATACGGTGCTGGAGGGACCCTTGTTGCTCTTTTATTATCAAGGATGATGTTCCTTCCATGGTCAAAATTGGCTCAAAGAATCACATCCACTTTGCAGCCTGGGAAAGAGGAAATTGGGAGCAAGCGATTTCCTTCTAAGGAAACTTACCCTCATCACTTGTGCTCCCAGTTACTTGTGAGCACTTACCACATAGCTAATACCTAGCTTCAAGGAGGGCGGGAACATGTTCTCTTGAGCTAGATGGACGTTTGTTCCACTAAAACTCCAGGGGAGGGGTTTTATTTCTAAAAGGAAAAGGAGGAGAAAGACTAGTAAAGATTTTATTTATTTGAGAGAAAGAGAAAGAAAGAGAGCACACCCTGGGGGAGGGGCAGAGGGAGAAGCAGACTCTTTGCTGAGCCAGGAGCCCAGGGAGCCCAATGCAGGGCTCGATCCCAGGACCCTGAGATCACGACCTGAGCCGAGGGCAGATGCTTAACCCACTGAGCCACCCGGGCACCCAGAACTCCTAAATGAAAGGACAGGGATGATGGATAGCTGTCAGTGCCGCATGCCATGATGAAAATCGGAGCAGGACTTACAAAGATCCTTTGCCCCAGCAGGAAAGAAGGTCCTTGGTTAAACTTTGAATCTGTTATTTTGGAGAAACCTGACCATTATCCTCTGTGGTCCCTGGTTTGACCTCTAGGAGGTCATCAAACTCAGCCACATCTGAAACTTTGGGGTTTATCACAGCTTTTGAAGGCTCCTGCCTGCTGGTGCATATTTGTAGACTTAGATTTCCTCAGGGATTGAACAAACAGGCTTTTATCAACCAGGATTTATGGCTTATTTGGCTGTGATGGAGAGGTTGACTCCGTGCTTTATGTTTGACCGCTGACAGCTTCCATGCTTCGCCATCCCCCTCTGCCACTGTGCTCCACATCTGGCCAAGCTGATTAGAAAGGCTGGATGCCTCCTCCTTTGGCCCAGCGGGAGGTTCAAACCACACAAGCCTGGCCTGAGAGCAGAAACCCTTTTCCCAGCCTCACACCCTAAGACCAATAAAAGCCAAGCCAGTCAATTCATTTGTGGACCCGCATGGGGACTGCTCTGATCTTCCCGGAAAGATGTGAATAATAAACCTTTTCATACCCTCTTGATGTGTGTGTGTGCCTATTAGTCTTGACATCCAGACCAAAATCCAGGTTAGGGATCAATCTGAGGGGTGCTCACAACGTAAGTGACAAAATCTCATCAGAAACAAGGTAGGCTTCTACTTCAAGTCCTACTTGCTTCTACTTCTACATAAGTGACAAAATCTCATCAGAAACGAGGTAGGCTTCTACTTCTACTTCAAGTCCTACTTGCTTCTGGTTCATTCACATGAAAGTAGCCGCAGCCCAAAGTCTACTCTTGTTGTAGTTCTTAAGTCAACAGCATCTTGTTTAGTCTCTGCTTGTTCCTCCAGCCCTCAGTTTAATGGGCACCTTGAAGCTTTCTGGAAGGAATTTAAGTGGGAAAACAATGCCCTTGGTCTGACTTTTTCTGTTGAGCTACTCCCGTCGCCTGGCCAGTATTACTTAATGGAGACTTTTGAGAAAGTTCTGCATGATAGTTTCCTGCTCTTCGGGGTGCAGAAGCCGTGGGCTGCAGGATGCAGACACAACTCCCGTAACAAAGCTGCGTTGCCCTGCTCATAAACCGGTTCTTCTTGTCTCACCCAACCATTTTCCATGGTTCTTACTCTACTACGAAGCAGCAAAGAGGGGCCGATGCACGTCATCCCTGCTTTTCCCTCATCACCGTCCCCACTGCCCTGGGTCTGCCTAATGTTTGGTGGGAGCACAGCAAGGGTCTCTAGTTTTCCCCTCTGCAGTCTCAGCTTTCTGCCTGCCAGCTGCCCGGCCCCAGTGCCCAAGCCATGTATTTTCCATTTTTTCCATTTTTGTTACGATGGGTAGATCGTTCACATTGCCTGTGTCTGCACGGTCTCATGTGGTGACTCCCGCATCTGTTACCTCCTGTACTTACCTGTTCCACGCTCCGAATGTACCTGCAAGAGCTCTGATGCTTTTCTGGGTCTTTATCGCAAGATTGGAGACGGGCAGGCAGTGCAACGACAACAAATAGTGGGATAAACATTAGACAACATGGATGGGCAATCATTTACCTGGCTCAGGTAACTTATCCTTTTGAAAAATCTACTGAAATATTGCCAACCAGATAAAACCCTTTCCCCAATAATAGCTCCACATTCTCATCGCATGCCCTCCAACCCAGACACACTGTCCTTTTCTCAGGGTCTGTGTCTGTGTGGTCCTGTGCCATGGCCTGGACCCCTCTTCTCGCCGTATTTGCGTATCTGTTTCTTCTTATCCATTAGATCTGAGCTCAAATATTGACTCTTCCTAGGAGCCTTCCCTAACCATCCTATGTGAGGAGGTAGATCTCTCTTGTCCTCCTCTTCCTCGTTACCCTGCTTTCTCCCTTTGTAGTACTTACTGCTGCTTAGACTTCGGCATTTGTTTCTTGTCCATCATCTCTCCCATTAGGTAATAAGCTCCATGAAGAGAGAATGATGGTGGGATTTTTTTCTTTCATCACTGGTACGGTGCCTGACACACTAAGGTGCTAAATAAATATTTATTGGTGGATAAATGAATGAATGAATGCTCCCAGGATCCATTATGTTTTCTGTACACGTTGCTTCTCATGTTCTTTCCTCTCTTGGGAAACTTCACCGAACCTTCAAGGCCCAACCTCCTCCCGATAAAATTAATCACTTCCCCTTTCATGATCACCTAGTGAGTTGTACATGACTCTAATATCCTAAGAATTCAGCACGTGCTGTAAGATTTTATCGTATATTGCATGGCTATTAATTTGCTGATTTTTCCTCACCTTCCCACCTTTTGAGATGAGAAACATAGCTCATTGATTTTTTTTTGTCTGTAATGATGATAATAATCACCTCCAACTAACATGTG